ATTATCATTGGTGTAAATTGTAACTTTTTGTCTTAAAGCTTTTGCAATACTATAACTATATAGTAATGCAAATAAAGCTTATGATGTTGTTGCATTACATTTAATCGAAAAAGCCCGCCCTCAAATCACCTTGGCATCTTCAAGTACGAAACTCAAGAAGCACCCCGGCGCTCTTTCGAAATTTCCGATTTATTTTTACAATTTGGTTTGCGCGAACTTTACTGACTGAAGTTCATACGAAGCCTTGCAGACTCAGTTCATGGGAGTATCACGTACGTACCCTACGATAAATAAAACTTAAAGTTGTTTATGGAGATACTTTATTATCACTTTCATCACACTTATTTAAATACCATGCTGCTAAGAAGAAATGAAAGTTCAAACCTTGTTTTGTTTTGAACTTTCATTTCTTCTAAAGACTGGTTTTAAACTTCTCTCAATCTCGGGAGACACAAATAACAATGGTGAAATGAACAAATGCTGGTGGACAAACAAAACGAGCTAATGAGCAATCTTTTGTTTACCGTCCACCAGCATGGCGGCGATGACGTAACGTGAAAACCAGCAATGGTAATCAACATATTAAAAGGTCTGATTAGCAAAAATTAATAAGCGCTGCTATATTGCTGGGGAATGCGGCACTCTCGCTTGAATGGGTTGAATGCAGGAGAAAAATATGTTTATTTGAAAGAGTGCCGAGGTGTTTATTTATTTTTCTTCTTCTCCTGTGCGACTCTTACTTGAGGTCGGCGCCCTTTCGATTAAATGCAGTAAAACATTGAATTTTTCGAAAGAGCGCCGCGGCGCTTATTGCTTTTCGATTTAAAAGATGCCAAGGAGAATTTGGGTGGCGCTGTTTTGATTAAGTGCGTTTTTTCCAGCTGTGTTGTGCCAGAAAGTGTCGGGTTTGTGTCATGGAGTGTGTGTGCGTGTGTAATTTTTGGCGCTGGTAGCCGGGAAAGGGGATTGTGGGGATGCATCAAAGGGCTATTGGTAAAAATTTCCAGGACTGTTCCCTGGGGAGAGACGTTTCTTGAAAAAAAATATGAATGAATGATTGAGACAGAGGAAGACAGAACAAAAGGTTTTGTTTTGAGCAATGCTTTTATTCAATTTAATTTCCACAAATATTTGTTCACGCAAGAATTTCTATTTAGCAGTTTCTATTTAGCATTGTAAAGGACACTGATCATTGGCTATGAAGTCGAACAATATTTTTGACGTTGCATTTGTATACTCATTGCACCAGGATGTAGCCCATCGCTTTAATGTTTTTGCCACCATTGTCTGCTCGATGCTTGTCCGTGGCCTGGTTTCCACAGGTGTTGTCATCACGAGGATAACTACCAGTACCAAATCCAATGCTTGAGTCAGGGGTAATACAGTCGTTCTCTTGGTTACTTATGATACCGATTCTTACTCTCATATAGCTAATGCCTCGCTGCCCGAGACAATTGAACCCTTCCCGGTTACAATATCTCTGCAGCGATGCCTGTTGGCCAATCAGCTTCTTCCAGGTGTCACGACCCAGTGACGTCGAAAGGTAGTTTCCGTCAGCGATCAGGGAGTGTAAGGAGTTGGCTTCTTTGTTGATGACGATCGAATTAACTTGATGGCCGATCTTCATAGCGAGGCAGATCTTAGTGAATGGTGTGCTCCAGTACGTGGGTAATTTTGTTTCTTGATTATCAAGCAGGGTCTTTCCTGTAGAGGGTTTATAGTTCTTCCTGTTGGTCCACAATTTTGAATAGTAAAGAAAGGTATTCTAAACAGATAAAGAATGATATATCGTCAATTAACAAACTGTTTTCACATGACATCACAGCAGTCACATTCCGCTCCAAAAGTTTGTAAGACTATCCAATTTGGCCTTCTGGGCCCTGGGGGTCAACTACATCCAACCTCCTCCCCCTCCCCAAGTAGTTTTGAGAATATCTAGGCTAAGACAATCAAACGCCTGGTAAGAATTAAAACAATGTAATAAATACCCCAGCCAGGTAAATGACGTGACATGGCGAGATTCCTCGAAAAATGTCGCTGTGATGATGGTCAATGGCCGCCATCTCGGTGTACTAGTGAGCCAGTGTGAAGAGGCTTCATTATATGACTGGCCGTTTTACGACTCGTCAAGATGAAGCGAATCCTGTGGTCTGTGCGAGAAACAATTTCTTTTTTGGCGATGTAATAAATCGTTGATTTACCAAATCTTCGGTCAAGAGGAATGGATACTGGGCTGGTTCTTTTTCACGTTTTTATGGACCTCAACTCGGTCTCGGTTCATACAAAAGCAAATAAAAAGGAACTCAGCCAAAATCGAGCCAAATTAGCCTCATGGTTTGTCAGTAGAGCCCTATTCTTGTAAGAAACCTTCGCGGTAACATTTTTGTGAGCGGCACACAAGATTCTCCTCACGGGCTATCTCGGATCACCCACTTTTGCGCAGCATTATTATGGTAGGAAATATGCCAAAAAGGGTAAATCAATTTCTGTACAAAACAATTCACAATTCATCTGAAAATATCAACCTTTCAGAAAATAAACGTTTTGTTCGTGCGCTATTAAAAAAACTTGCCCCAAGGATTGCACTGGATTGAAATCACGCCTTTTGCCCCATTCATACCAAAGCTTAAAATTTACCTAACAGCTAGTTTTAAACATGAGCCGGAATGGTTCACACAACAGACTGCCATACCGTGCGGTCAAGTATGGATTGGCAATTTCCAAATTTGATATTTTAATACCTGTAACCCCAGCGAAAAGCTGAGGGTATGTTCGCTTCCTTTCTGCTAATTGTTTAAAAGCTGTTTAGTTACATTCCTAAATCCAGCTCCGCTGTTCACTTATGTCCAGGATTGCAATCTGTCGCAAAACTGATTTGGTAGCAATTCTCGGTCGCAATTTTAGCAAAAAATAGTTTAAAGGAAACTGCTCTAGGTTGATCGACGGGTCATTTAACAATTATTCCACGAGTGCGCGTTTGATATGAAATGGTTGGTAGCCAACGAGGCGCGTAGTGCCGAGATGGCTATAATCATCTCATATCCAACAAGGGCGAGTAGAATAATTGTTTTATCAAGAACGCCCACAAAACAGTATCGAGAATTCTTCCCACCTTTATTTGTAAAAACAACCGATTTTCAGCTTGTTTTTAAATTTGAGCAGACGCGTACAGTTACCATATTGGGGGAGCATGGTATAATTAACAATTATTCCTCGAGCCCGAATGAGCTCTGAGTTTATAGCTCATGAGGCCGAAGGCCGAATGGGCTATTGACTCAGAGAGGCCATGAGGGCGAGAGAAATAATTGTTTTAGTAAAATCCAACTAGTTGGTCAAAAATATCGAGAATAAAAAAATTTTACCTAGTTAAAGCTGGACTTTAATCCTTTTTTGCCGCCAAAAAGCCCTCGCTTTTTATAAGGCCTAGTAGTAGCTCAACCAATCAGAACGCAGCATTGATAATAGACCACTAGTTGGATTTTACTAATGGCTCATATACCGTGATGGCGCTAAGCCAATCAGAGCACTAGAATTGCATTATCCAATGAGTCAGTTTTTAACAATAGGCAATATACCATAGAATCGTCGATCATGTATATTCAGTCCTGCATCTTCCAAATATGGTAAACGGCGGCTGGTTATGAAGAATTAGTCGAGGGATTGGAGCCAATCTTGAACCCGGGCAATATATTATCAATGAATACTACTAGTAATAGTTGACACTACAGCTGCCCCCGTTCTGTATATTGTCGGTCAATAGTATTCTTGCTCGGTGTGTAGCTCTTTGAAATATACCGATTCATAATGAAGATTTTCACACATATTCCATACAATAGGTGAGATAAATACAGGAAACGCAAGGTTCTATGCACAGTTCCAGTTCGATTTACTCAGCTTTGATCAAAACATTCTCAGTTTCGAGAATAGTTTATTCTAAACCATAAGTAAAGAATTAATTAGAAGTTGAATTTTTCGCTCTTTCTCTTTCACGTTTTACATTCAGTTCATTTTATTTGTCGGAATGTAAGCCTTAGAAATTAAAAGGACGTTTGATCAATTCACGCTCGGGCATTCTAGTCTTATTTTAAATTTTATAGCGGAAGGACATGATCTATGGGCAGGGAATAAGTCAGCACCAAGAGCCATAAGGTCAGCACAGAATTTGATTGTCGGCGAATTTCTGTAATCGTCCAACGTTCTGCTAGTGATAAGCCAGCCGTTGTTCACTCGTCTTGCTTGTTTGGGGCTGAGTCTTATTCCGGTCAAAGAGAGAGAAAGAGAGTCTGGCAAGGTTTCCAATCAAAAAATTCTGAACTCGTGTCTGGCAAACTCTCCATATATATGTATAGGTAATAGCATGATTTGTAGTGATATTTGGCATAAATACCACGAGTGATATTTCAAAATTGTTATACGTAATTTCACGAGCTGTTGGGCGAGTGAAATTTGAGACAATTTTGAAATATCACAAGTGGTATTTATGCCAAATATCACGTACAAATCATGCTATTATTTGTTTATACTACTACCCGCAAAAGGTTTGTAATTTTCACAAGTAGGTATTTCAAATTAAGCTGAAATACCACTGCTCTAAGCCAATCAAATTGCAGAAACTTCTCATGTAGTAGTATAAACACAGTTGTACGCACCTTAGAACTTCATCTGCGCCTAACGAGTGTCTTTTGGTCCATAACACGTCATAACTTTTAAAACAACTGCTCCACAGAATGTCACTGATAACACGTAACGCAAAAGAGTATCGAAGTATGATTGCACAATAAATGTCACAAAATCTTACTTGCGGGCGCAAACAATAGAAACGTCATCATTACCTACCGATTCCTCGCGTCCCCTGTTCAGGCAAGTCGAGATTTTTCTGGTACACTGACTGTATATTCCAGCTGTAAGTGCTTTCCTTAATATACGCGCGAGTTACTAGAGTGCCTCCTTGGGATTTCGCCTTCTCGGCGAAATCCCTGCGGGGCCAAAAATTGTTGCATCGCTGCTGTTACCTTTTCGCCATCGGTCTTCATGACGAGCGTCCATCCACCTCCTCCGCATGCTCCAAGCTCAGCAGCTTCCATGTGACAGTACACAGGAATTAGTTTAGACTCCACATTCAGTAAGTAGGCTTTGTTCTCACGCTTCCTAGTAAATAGATATTTATATAATGATATAATTTTGAGGCTCTGCATGAAATCAAGCAAGATTTGTTTTCTCTGCATGTTTTAGTAAGTGACCGTCCTCATATTCAATCAGATGCAATAAACGATTGGATTTAGGGACATAAAAAGAATAAATATAAACAAGAATATGACAATCTTTCGCACGTCGCAGACAAAACTGACATTTGGTATGGAGCAATGTCGACCTTACAACAAAGGAAAACTTAATGAACAATTGATATACCTCGACAGACGCATGGTTACAAAAGTAGAGCCAGCCGAATGCAGCGAAGGTTGTTTGAATCGGCTGGTGCCGCCTAAAAAAGAATTATATGTACCCGCTCGAAAAGCAGTAAAACGGATAGTTAGGCCGTTGAAGCCAGAAATGTAATAATTGACCACAAATGTAGAAGTTTTCAAATGTAATGCAGATAAACCACGCGTGTAATAAGGCCCTCATATGAAATGAAAACCGTAGTTTCTTGAAAGAGCGCCGCCCTCTAATAAAGTCGAAAAATCAAAAGGCGCTCTCTCGAATAAATACAATTTAATCGGAAGAGCACCGCATTTCCTAGCTAGCAACTCTGTAGCCCTTATTGATTGTTTTAATAAAAAACAGCGGACTCACCTTATCCACTTTAGAATAGGCCATTTTACAGTTGTGGGTGGAAGCGAGGCTGAGGGTGACCTTGCTTTGATACAAACCTTCCTGCTTTATTATGTAAATCAAGTCATTCTTATGCTTACTAGTATTTTTCAAGAACAATTTCCATAACAAAGCAAAGAAGGTTTGTATCAAAACAAGGTCACCCTCAACCTCGCCTCCATCCATAACTGTAAAATGGCCTATTAGACAAAACTAACCCACATGGGCCTACAGTTATCGGGGGGGGGGGTACTCCCTTATATAAGCCAGATATGTGCCGCCCCAAAGCATTTATGTCCAGGATCGATCTTGTTAGTAAAAATTTGCTAACAGGTTCTTTTCGCAATTTTAGCAAAAAACATTTAAAGAAAACTGCTATCAGAAAAGTATAGAACAAATAGCAAATTTCGCAAAAATCGAAAAAGTAACAAAAATTTTTCTTGCTAGTGAAAAGATTGAGTAACAAATATGGCAAAAAAAGCAAGAATACCAAATTTAACAAAATTCTACACTTACAATGAGAATGTTACTTGGTGTTTTTAGCTAGCAGGAAAAATTCTTGTTACTTTCGCGATTTTTGCGACACTTGCGGACTTTTCGGGGCCCTTCTTGGCTTGGACTCTTTCTAAGTCTTAAATTTTGTTACATTTGTTTTTTGTTGCGATATTTGTAAGTGATTATTTCACAAAATTTTCTGCTCAATCATTTCTTTTGCGACAATTGCGAAAACAATTTGCTAACAAGATCGATCCTGGACGCCGTTGGGTTTTTGGGGCGTTTTGGTCTGAAAACGGGTATAGACTTTGCCCATTTTGGTCTGGAATCGGGTATGGCTTTCGAGGGAACTACGGGAGTGTATGAACGTATTTAATAAAGCAAATCAAGCTTGGCTGCGTAGCGTCTTAAAACAAAACTAGCAGCCGCTAAGCGCAGCTTTGAAACTCGCTCGAGACCCTTTCCATTTGCGCAGAGATTGATGGAGTGTCCGTCTAGTCACATAGTTATATCGGGATGACCAGCTAGACAGCTTAGCAGCCGCTAACTGTACTCGCTGAAGTCTCTTAACAAGATAATCTGCTATAGTATCACTGACAATGTCATTATAATCGATCTTTGACAAAATAAGACACTCTGCTAAGTGTTTTCTGACATTATAAGGGGCAAGGTATTTCAGCTTCTTATCAAAGTTCCGTAACAACTTGAGATCTGCAGTTTATTTCTCTTTTCCAGTTGACGTTTTCGTGCACTTCCGTACCAAGTAGACGGAAAGTTAAAACTCGCTGGAGACTCTTTCCATTTGCGCAGAGATGGATGCAGTGTCCGTCTAGTCCATGAGTTTGTGACATCTGGGGAGTTGAAAGAAGCATTACTTTAGTCTTCTTAGGATGGAGAGCCATGTTACATAGGAATGACCAGGTAAGCAGCCTGCATCTCCGCCAGACAACCCTCAGAAGCTCAGATGGTTTACAGTGACTATAAATCGTAATATCGTTCGCATATTGATGGCAATTTACTTTGGTTGGTAGTACGTCAGTCAAGTCGTTGACATAAAGGTTGAATAAGAGGGGACGCAAAATGAATCCCTGAGGTACCCCAAAAGACACATTTAAGCGTTCCAACGAGCGATCATCGATTTGGACGTATTGAGTTCGATCAGTCAAATAACTCACAATCTAATGTAGAGAGGACTTGGAAAACCCTAGCTTATGCAATTTGCACAGAAATGTCTCATACACAACTGTATCAAAAGCTTTAGAAAAGTCTGCCATAATTGCAATGGTGACCTCACCTCTGTTGATTACCTACAGACTCCGTTAATGACTTAGGTGTGATATTTGATCCTACCCTGACATTTGATTGCCATATCTCAGCTCTCACTGCTTCATGTATTTCTAAGCTACCCCAGACAAACCGCGCAAAACACGCTTTTAATTTAGACTTTCTAGCGATTTTAATTAACGCGCTTGTTTTCTGTAAATTAATTTACTGCTCGGCGGTCTGGTCTAGCACTTCTGACAGAAATATACGTAAATTACAACACGTACAGAACCTTGCCGCCCGGATAATTAGTGAAGCGAGAAAATTCGATCATATCTCTCCAGTTCTCCGGGATTTGTGCTAGTTACCTGTAGGATAGCAATTATATTTAAGGGACGCTGTTTTTGCGTTTAAATGTATGACGGGCTGTACTGTGTCCCAGATTACCTCACATCCAAGCTAGTTACCAGAGGCCAAGTTTCTGGCCGCGTGATACGCAATTCACAACAATTAAATATTCCGGGGGGGGGGAAGGTGTCTCCAAGGAAATCTGTGGTACAGTCCGCCTGCCAGTATGACGTCACGTCTCGCGTCATTAATTTTTAAAATGGCGAGCAAAGTGTTCATCGAAGAGACAGATAAAAAATTTCGATTTAATCACGGGAATACTGTTCCGATTTCTTGGATTTGGAGATTTTAAGGTTTCTATTGTCATAGAAAACTAGACTTAAGTACTTTTTTGGAATGAAATGTCCGTTGAAGTAATGAATTTTAAAGATTCCTTTCTATCGTCGAGCAAATTTTACGGGCAAACATTCCGACCGGTCACACTTTTGAGGGCCAGTGCACAGCAAGATTGAGGAGTTTAGACACAGCAATAGGAGGTTCATCAAAGGATGTATTGTACTTTACATTGTGCGTATTTTCAGCTCTTCAGAGCTAGTGGAACCCCATATCATTCCTCTCAAAGTTCGCTCAGCTGTAGCGTTGAAAGAGGAAGCTATGACAGGTATTTGTGAGAGACTGTGAACATTGAATCTTGTTGGTTTACCGCATTTTAATACTGTATTGGGCATACACCTGTAATTCTGTAATTTAATCCCGAAAACCAATAAAAGGTTTCGTTTAACTATTTTTTGGGGGCAAACCCAGTGAAGATTTTAGGGTAATAATATTGATGATTAAGACGATGGGTACAAAAGGCAAGTTTAACTTTCGTCAGTGGGTCACTGGTGGGTGTTGGGTGTAAATTAGTACAGTTTGTGGTCTACTGTGTGTTGCTTGTCATGATGTCAACTAACACTGCAAAAAATTCAGAGGAGGGACATGTCTTGACAGGGCTTATGATTATTATCTGGTCGTAAGCTTGGCCAGTATGCAGATCAAGAGCTTTTGAAAGCCCTTTTCCAAATAAAACTCCGGACTTAAGCTTAAAATATCATTGATCCAAGTGCATGACCAGCAGGGTCAGCCGTGAGAATAAAGAAAAAAAGGCCAAAAGGAAAAATAGTGTTAAAAAAGAGACCAAACAGGAAAAAAAAAACGGTACAAAGAAACAGAAAACAGCGTCGCCGGGAGTCGAACCCGGTTTATCTGCACGTGCAAGCAACTCCTTGACCACTGTACCACAGTGACACGCATGATATGAAAAATTAATTTTGTCATATCAAAACAATTTTTCCCTGCCATAGACGCTGTTTGAAGCTGTTGGAGCTGTATTTATCATGAATTCAAATATACATTTGAGGAAAATAAGCTTAAGCGTGTATTTCATAGCTATTTCGCATTATTTCGGGTTCAACGAGCCGACTCGATGTAGATCATCGATCGAACTAGCTTTACTGAATTTGGTGGAGAATTTGGAGATCAACAGAGGCCCACACTCGAAAGGAATGATATGAAGTTAGGCCCATTTAATTACCAAAAGAAGAGATGAAATACAAACATGCGAGATCTGTGAATGGAACCTCTTATTCTGGAGACTAGACCTTGCCTAGTTTAGAGAAAAAAAAGATTTCAGTTTTGATGACCTCGCCGGTCGCGTGAAATAGATGGGGATCCCGCAACACGGCCCGCTAAACAAATTAACAAAATTATGCAATCACGGGCACAAAATGTCAAAACGATTTACACAAGCAGATTATAGCAACACCAAAGGTAACACACATTCGATCAAATAAGCGATATATAGCGATACTTGCTAGCTTCTCGACACCTCGGTCGTCCAAATAACTGTCGTCAGGAGCCCATCAAATGGAGCCTCCTTCTCCCATACAAGCCCTTGGAGTCAACCCTTTCCCGAGTAGATTTATAATTAGAACGGTTCCCAGGGGAGACTTCGCGCTCCGACAGTGAGAAGAGCCAATCACCACGACGAAATGACAGTGCTATTTTACTTCATCAAAAAGCAGGAAATTCGGTGCTGACAGGCCAAACACAATCGTAAACTAGTGAAACGTGACTTCAGCGTTTTTATCCCTCAGAGATTTTCTGTCTTTTCTTTCTAGGGGGTAGATTATACTGTGGAGAGTTTTAAACTCTAATCTTAATTTTGGTTGCTTGTCTCACATTAAGAGGCCATGAAGCTGGTCTGTTACATGCGTAATGATTCACTACTACCTGCAGTCTGTAGTTCTGACGGGATTCGTTTTCTTTAGCCAATTTTTTTGAGCTCTAAGGTTCTTATTTCGGCTAAATGACTCAATATTAATCAAATTTCTAGTGTTTTAAGGCTTTTTTTCCGAAATGCGTTTATCTCTGAATAAATACTTTTAGTCCTTCTGGTTGTTTTGTCCGTCAGCTAGTGTGATGATTCCCTGCTATGTTTTGTAACGCCGGGCCCAGCCATTGTTTTCTCACAAAAAAAAGTGATCTACAGATGCGAATTCGAAGGAAAGAATTGGCCTAAACTTCTACATTAATTGCTGAGAATTGTCCTGTTAGTCAGTCATAATTCTTTTGGCGCAGATACAATCCATTTTGTTTTTCTTGAGGTAAGAGGGTCTTTGGACTGGAGCGCGATGTCACAAATTCCTCCGTTAGCAAATTACTTTTGAGTTAGCTTGACGGTCGAGCAACTGTTGTCTTCTGTTCAACTTTTCAAGTGCCAGTTTCATCAGGCAACTCTCATGGTGATACAAGAAAAAACTGCAATCTCTCAGATTTCAGAACTGAAGCATTCGTCCTTAGTTGCTACTTAGGTCCTCGCACGCGGTGCTTAACTGGCGAAATCCACTCCACGGTGATGACAAAAATCAAATGGTCCTGGCACTTTTTCGGCGCTGATCATCGAAAAGTTCCAACTGGTCCACAGAACGCTTAATCGTCGACTGTTTTCAAGGTGCATGCTTCAATGTGGGATGTATGACGGCAAAAAAAAAAAAAAACACTCGCAAAGATAACCTTTCCGTGATCCTCAGTTCGCTGCCTTTGTCCCATCGCTTCATGCTTAGTCTCAGTCGGGTGATTTATTAACTTTTGTTTCATGATTCCCGGCTCTGGACAACCGTTATTTAAGTAAATATTGAAAATCAAGCTCTTTAGTTACCTTATTTTAGTGGTTAACTCGCTTCTACAATGCTTTGGAGCTTCTTACTACGTCCACTATAAAGGAGCACACTGCATTGACCCACAGTTGTTTTTAAAGTTAAAACTATGCTATGCTCTACATGGACTACCTTATTAGAGGAAATTAACTCTCCGTGAAATTAAGGTATGGAAATTAACAAGACTTAAATTAATGCGAATTTAATGGAAAACGACTTTGGAATAAAGAAAATTAACGCGAAAGAGGAGGTAGAATTTCATAATAAAGGAAATTAACGCGATTGTCATATTCTGTCGAGAAAGACTATGTTGACGATTCGAAATCTATCTTGGCCGAAATCAAAGGAGAAGATATTGACCTCACTGCTGACAGCGACAACGATGAACATGAACTCGAAATATTGTAAACCTTCTCCTTAGCTTTTGTGAAAGATGAAAAATAAAGGGTAAATGGAAAGAAAGCTTGTAGTTAGTGTTTTTTAGGTGTCAAGAATGTCTGGACAGGTTCGAAAATTGGGGTTAAAATACTGGAAATTAAGAACGCGGAAATTTACGCTGCACTTAATTAACGTCGCGGAAATTAACGGCAGGACTTTTCCGCGGGTGGCGGGTGACGGGTAGCGGGTGGAGGGTGAGGGGTAGCGGGTGACGGGTGACGGGTGGCGGGTGGCGGGTGGCGGGTGGCGGGTGGCGGGTTAAAAATATATATGAAAATAAAATATTATAACAAAATATTATTATTGATAATGATATAACTGTATGTTGTAATTTTAAAATTATTTCAACGTTTACGTACTAGTTACCAGACTCCAAATAAAAGTATTGTCTTGTTTTGTTTTATCTACTTTAATACGCGGACTAAAAATGGATTAAAAAAACAAGAAATCATGCCTGTGAAAGATGATTGCACTTCCCCAACTGTTTAGCCGTGTTTATAACAGACTGCAAGAGATTCGGCCTCCCGTGTCGTAGCTCAGTTTTTGCCCTAGTATGCGGCATGATTGCCATCCTAATCAGTATTTTTGAGTAGTATTTAAAAAATGCAGATCCTTTTTGTATTTATATACAAGGAGATCAATTCGCGTCTGAGACGCCACATGCGGCGAAAACGGTCCATGCTGTGTCCAAAACGTTCTTGCTCCTTCTCTGGTACGCATTAACATTGACAGCTTTGTTGCTTTAGTCTTAGGAAAATTTCCTTGTTTTCTCGATTCGCGTTAATTTCATTGAGCTTTAATTTCCTATAATAAGGTACATCTTTCGCTTGCGGCTGCTGTAATTGTGCGCGATCCGGTATCGCGAATTATGTACAGAGTTTATAAGCCAAATCACTGTGTCAGTGAATAAAAAGGGCTCTGAGAGCTTTTGATAACATAATTCTAACGGAAAACATTTCAAGAAGACAAGATCTTTAATCAAACATATAATAAAAATGTGAGTAGTCGCTCCATACTTTATGCATGCAATCTATAACACAGACATGTAATCTTAATTTAAATCATACTTGTATAAAACTTGTCCAGGGGCTCTCCTCGAATAGCCCTACAGGGTTTTTTGAGAGTTCCTGCCCAAGTATATTTTAATTATAAGACTGTGTAATTATTGTACTATGTTAAAAAGGGCAAACAAATTGATTGATTGATCGAAGTTTAACAGGCGTGCAGTGAAATTAAATGCGAATTTACTCTGTTGTGTACCTGACATACCGTCGGTTTCATTCTCACAATACAAAATCTACTGAGCCTGTTATTTTTTCTCTCGCTACTAAGAAACTATGTTACATGTAAACAAGGCAAACAGTCCAAAGATTAGATTAAAGAGCGAGCTGATGGGGCTAGCGACTTTAAAAGGTTAAAATCTGTGAATTAAAGAACGGTCCTCCAAGGTTTCACGGCGTTAGATGGTTAGGCATGTCGCGTCGAGTTCTTTGCATTCTTTTTAAACAAGCTTATCATTTTGCAGTTCCTGAGGCCATGGAATCTTGTACCTTGAGAAATAATGTGATTGCCAAACAATGTTAAATTTCTACCTGACTTTGCTAATTCTGCCAGTCAACGGTGTTTTTCTACTCATCGAATGTGTATTGTTTTAAAGTAAGCAGCAGCCCATCGAATGTCGATATCATGCTCCGGGTATTTATATTGGATGGGTTTTAGTTGCAGGCTCTTTTCAATTAATGCTTGTAGGTGTACATTATTATTCGTGGTACTGTTGTTGTACGCGCATTCATCATCCTATGTAGATATATAGACCATGTGTGTAGAAAGGTAGAAAGCTACCATTACAATTCCGGCAAACCCTTTCTTTAGGGTGTGCCGATGAGACAACAAATTTGTCGTAGAGGTCTGTCAACCTTAAAAATAGAAACACTTTATTGCAAACTAATAGACAGACAGCTACAAATAACACGGCGAAATGTCTTAATAGTGTTGCCTTCTTGATTGTTTATTGCAGAGTAAGATCATGATGATGACAACTGGATTTACGTAAGAAGGTAACAAGTGACAGCAAGATCGAGTGTCAAACGGATGAACTTGTGGCCCTCAAATTTAAACAGCTTAGAATAATACTGATTAACATATAATAATTTATATGATTAAGAAATATGCACGGTAAACTGAAGTATACAACATATTTCATCACTCTATTGCCTTGATTACTCACAAGTTCAAAGTCTATTTAATTAGAATTATGAAATTCTTTTAATTAGCAAATTAACGCTCTTCGTACTGGCCTTTTTGACAATTCTGACACTTAGACCTTTCTCAGATTTATCAGTAATTTATTCCAATCTTTAATTTTTCATAAAAATGGTGTCATAGTTTTATAAACGCGATAACAACTGCGAAACCGTTCGATACGTTTCTTTTAAAATTTGGTATTGACACTGGTCTTAGCAAGATTTCCTCTATGTCTATTAAAGCCATGATTTCATTTTTCCGAGATCTTTGTCCGCAATGTGTAATTAAAGCTCAAACTTGGAAGGTTTTGCTCCTAGTAAAAACCATTGGAGTCACCTTTTCCAGATAGCACTAACCAACCTACAGCTCCACATGACGAAGCTAACAGTTAATTTGGGGGGATTTGGTTACATTGTACGCAAAGAAAGCCCTTTTCTAAAGTCCGAACCTGAAGAAACTGGTACTCACTATAATATGAGAAAAGTTGTGTGTTATATCGAGACGAAAAAAGTACTCAGTAAAAAATGTTGCTAACACCATAGTAATCACGTATGCTGTACTCACAAAGCCTTATCATAAATTTCCTTGCAACTTGACATCATCATACCTGTAAAAAAAAACCTCGACAATGCGTCATTCTGTCACTCATTCCAGAGTCACGAAGGACAGTGCGCATCATGCCCTCGAGCGAGTGCGTCGCGCTATTTTGCGCTCTTCAAGTAGATAGTTCCGATCTCTTTAATTCAATCTCTATTTTCAAAGCAAAGCAAAAGAAAAAAAATGGACAAACTAAGAAAAGAAAACGATAGGTTTTGATGAATTACACAATTTCTGTTAAACCTGATTCACGTTAACCCGTGCCTGAAAAGAAGAAGATTTATTTAAGTACCCATTCACAATTAAGATATCTTGAAGTGCTCGGTAGTATATTTACCTGTACAATTATGTTCAGGTACACTTTCGTTATACCCTTCCCTGCAAACACACCTAAAGGATCCTTTAGTGTTATGGCACAATGAACTGGTGGCGTTACAGTTGTGTTTTCCCGACTCACACTCGTTTATGTCTGCAAATTAAGAGTTAATGCTGAATTATCAAACTGTAGATCTGTTAAGTATCATAATATGCCGTATACGTTCCTATTTTGACGATGCTTTTATCATTTCAACCTGATTCACCCCACTTAAATTCGACAAAAGAAGAAGACATTTTGAAAATATCCATTTCAATTAGCATATCTTGAAGTGCTCGGATGTATATTTACCTGTACATTTATGTTTATGTCCACTTTTGGAAAAACCCGACATGCAGACACACTTGTAAGATCCTTTAGTGTTATCGCACACTGAAGTATCGGGGTCACATTGGTTGTTTCCAGTTTCACACTCGTTTATGTCTGCAAATCAAGAGTTAATGCATGAATTATCAATCGGGTTCGATTTTTGTGTCGATTGTTTCCAATGAGGATAGATATATCCATCATATTTTTATAGAATGATAAATTTTTGTAGTGGACAAAACAAAAACGGAAGTAAGATTGAATGCCAAATAACTAAAAAATACAAATGATAAACCACGTTAGATGTCGCACACTTGGAAAGCTTTCGCTGGGAGAATTTACCCCGCGAAAAGGAAACTTTTGGCAGCTCGAGCAGACAAAGCCGGCGAGAATAATAAGGCAAGGAAATGTGCACGCCCAAATTTCCCTCGAAATCGCATATGTGAGCCTGTTCGCAGGCTACCGGGAATCTGAAGGCTGCAAGTAACACCAGACATTTTTCGTGGATACGACCTGTGGAGTGTTTCTTGGTTATGGGGAAACTATTTTTGGTTAGCTATTGTTATGTGGTGTAGATATTGTTCAGTGTCTTTTTAATCTTTTGTATGACGTCATTTTGTGATTGCATCCGTCCACAACACGAAGAAGCTACCGATCTGTGACATACCACTGACTAAATATGAAACCGGTTTCCAGCTTTCTGATTGGCTCTAATCTTTATGGTATGGAATAGCATAAAACTGAAGGTGAAATCCTGTTAGTTTAAGCTCCTTATCAGGTTTGCTACCTGTACAGTTAACACCATCCCCAGTATATCCTGGCTTACAAGTACAAGTGAAGGTACTCTTAGTCTCGGTGCAGAATGCATCATCGTGGCAGTTATGTCGTCCCAGTTTACACCTATCTACAAATCAGCAAATGGAAGTTAGGTATAAGAATTTAATTGACGTAAAGTAATCCACCCGCAAAGTCAGTTTTCACTTTCAGCCGATCAAGAGTTGTTTAAATTATTTATTTGCAACAGTTCAATTGACTTCAAATTGTTATAATCTATATGAATACTCTTCGTTCAATGTCACCAACCACGACGTGATTTACTAAACAACGGCACTTTCGAAATACCCTTCCCTGCAAGAACACTAAAAGGATGGTTCAGTGTTACGGCACAATGAACTGGTGGCGTTACAGTTGTGTTTTCCTGTCTCACACTCGTTTCTATCTGCAAATTAAGAGTTAATGTTGAATCATCAAACCGTAGATCTGTTTTAAAAAGCATCGTAATATGCCGTCCACGTTCCTATTTTGTCGATGCCTCTATTTTTTCAACCTGATTCACCCCACGTAAACCCGAGAAAAGAAGAAGACATTATAAGTATACATTTCAATTAGCATATCTTGAAGTGCTCGGTGGTATATTTACTTGCACATATATGTTCATATCCACTTTTGCAAACACACTTGTAAGATCCTTTAGCGTTTTCGCACTCTGAAATATCGTCGTCACATAGGTGGTATCCAGTCTTACACTCGTCTATGTCTGCAATCAAGAATTAATGCTGAATGATCAACTGACTTCGTTCGATTTTAATGTAGACTCTGTTTTACATGTTGCACACTTGGAAAGCTTTCGCTGGGGGAGTTTAGCCTGAGAAAAAGAAAATTTTGGTGGATCGAGTACGCAAAGCCGGCCAGAATAATAGGGCTAGGAAATGCACGCGCCAAAATGTCCCTCGAACTCGCACATGTGAGCCTGTTCGCAGGCTACGGGGATCTGGAGGCTGCAACTAACACCAGACATTTTTCATGGATACGACCTGTGGGGTGTTTGTTGGTGATGAGGAAACCATTGTTGATTATTAGCTATTGTTATCTGGTGTGGATATTGTTCAGTGTCTTTTTAATCTTTTGTATGACGTCATTTTGTGGTTGCACCCGTCCACAACACGAAGAAGCTACCGATCTGAGACATACCACTGACTAAATATGAAACCGGTTTCCAGCTTTCTGATTGGCTCTAATCTTTATGGTATGGAATAGCATAAAACGAAAAATGAAATCCTGTTAGTTTAAGCTCCATATGGTTTGCTACCTGCACAGTTAACACCATCCCCAGTATATCCTTGCTTACAAGTACAAGTGAAGGAACGCTTGGTGTTGGTGCAGTGTGCATCATCGTGGCAGTTATGTAGTCCTGTTTTACACTCATCTACAAATCAGCAAGTGGAAGTTAGGTAAGAATTTGACGTAAAGTAATCCACCGACAAAGTCCGTTTTCAGTTTCAGCCGATCAAGAGTTGTTTAAATGGTTTATTTGCAACAGTTCAAGTGAGTTCAAAATTTTTATAATCTATGAATACTCTTCGTTCAATGTCACCAACCACTGCGTGATTTACTAAACAAGTTTGTTAAAGGACTTGGAACGTTAATCTCAAAACTTCAATCAAGAAACTTTGCACCCCTAGGGACGCATCGTATAGTGCTGCTAGGGCTACACTCAGGGGCACCCAATGGATCTGTTCCTCAAAATATCTGTTCTTCAGGCCAATTTTTGCTGGCTGGAAGATGTGGAAGAAATAATATGTCCTTGGAAGGAAAGTGTTGCTAAGAAAAAAATGTGTCTGAGGGGATTTGATGTTTAGAATAGTTACTATGTGTTATGGATCAGAAACCCCTCCCTCAAACCCCCCAAAAAAGAGAAAAATTAAACTGTGTGCCCAAATAAAGTTTTTTTTTTGGGCACACAGTTCAATTTTTCTCAGTGATACCATCTCCATACGCATGCCGTGGGAGAACTGTTTTGCAGTTCCCAACCAACAGCTACCACTTGTTTACGGTGGAGCTGGCGCTTAAAGCAGTGCTTGCACTCGCCTCGGCAGTAAATGTTCTTTGATACGCCAGCAATCCCCCGCTAATTGACCCAACGGCTATGCCAGGCGGATGAGCCCCAATAAGGGCGAACCAGCTGTCCATGGTTGTGCGCATGCACAAGGTTGTTCGCATGCGTAAGGTATTGGCCATAACGCAGTGATGGTACGTGTGCTTCAGTGCAGTTAATTGGTATTGTTAAAAATTTAGCCCTCTCATATCACTTCTGCGCTATAACTGAAGCTGTTCTTCATGAAGTTAGTTCCCACTCAGTTTGTTAACAGAGTCACTTAGGGAGTAGCGCGTTTCACATCGTTTAACAATTTAGAGGATAAATATCCTGGAACAAGATCATTTAAAGACTTGTGAACCATTAGGGCTTTTGTATTTGAAACTGAGTTCTCAAGTCTTTCCAATTAAGTTGTCTAAATAAGCGGTTGGCATAAGCATCATATCTAGAAAAGGTTAGAACACGAGCAGCACGGTTCTGAAGCTTCTGTAGCCTGTCAAAAAAAGTTTTTCCACAATTACCCCAGACAATATCACTATAATCGAATTGAGATTGAATGAGGAGCGTTGTATATACAACGGAGAGTAGGCGTTGGAACAAAAACTTTTAGGATCTGTCCCTTGAAAGCCAGAGTACATCCCTACCCCCTTCCCCCGGTATCCGCGCGGGATTTTTTCGTCCTATGAGCGACAACGCTTCCAATGAAGAGAACGGGTGCAGAAATGCATAATTTACATTGTTCTTTGCATAACAAAAACGACCCCAAACCTCCTTAAGTTATTTTTACTTGTACTTAATTATTCATCCCATGGTTTTTTATCACTCACCTAAACAACTGATTTCAATCTCTCTCATGATCTCTTCCATTTCTTCTCTGTTTCTTTCCTGCTCTTTAATCATCTCCTCTTCTTCTTTATTCATCGGAACGGGACAAACTGCGAAACAGCAAAACAATAAATGAACAGTAATTATAAATCCATTAGAAGGTGGAGCATGATCGTCAGGGTGTAGTCCTGAGTAGGAATGTGTCGGGTAGTCATCTTCATAGTCAAAGTCGTTTGTTGTTACAGTAGTTTAATGTTAGTCAAATTGTCTCTTGCCTATAAAGTCACTTCTGTTTTTGTCAGTTTTGCTTGAGTCCGCCATAAGTCGTTTGTACCGTGCCTGTTGACTCCGATTCCAGTGGCTTTTGGTCTAATTTAGTAAACAAACTTTCGAAAATGAGTGCTAGTTATGGTAGTCTGTAGAATGCGTAATACGCGTTGCAGAGTCCCGGTCGATTTTATTTTTCGTCTGTAAATGGTGTTCAGCAATAAGAAGTGTGATTGTTGACATCAGCATTTCCTGTCGCTGGATCGTCGCTGTTAAACTGTGACAAAAGACCGATTGAAACGACCCGAGTCTTTATAGCCAATAACAGCACGGCTTAACTGACACAAGACCAATCACATCGAGACTTAATTAAACAATCAGGTCAATAACCAAAGTACAATACAGATATCGATATTGATGTTTTAGTAATAGTCGCCGTCGTTGTTGCTTTATAAGCTCCCTAAGTATAAACCTTCGCCACGGTAGTATTGGAACAGCAATAATTATAATTTTATAACAATAGAAAAATGAAGATGGTGATGATGATAATAATAATAATAATAATATTAATAATAATAATAATAATAATAATAATAATATTAATAGCACGATTTTCTAAGATACAAATTCATTTAAAATCTCTTAAGAAAGTAAAACAGAGGATCAGTCTTGAACGAAGGCGTTTGGCTCGTTTCGAAGTCTTGATCGCACATTTTTTATGTGTAAAAATCATTATTTCACTTGTTTTTTTTTACTTCAGAATGATTTTTTGACAGCTTTCTGTGTATGAAACAGCAACAGGGTGCTTAAACATAATGCCTACAAATAGGTGCGCAATAAAATTTTGGTCCTGATGTCATTAGTCATTACCTCCATGGTTTACAACTTCCTGTGCCATCATCACAGCTGGGAACATGATAAAGGAACTGATAACTATCAATGTTGTCATGTCAGCCATCGTCCAAGCTTGTAAAAATAAAAATAATATTGAATAATATTCATTGACATATAAAAATGAATTTCGTTGGTGAAGGAGAACCGATGCATAACCACGAGTCGGGGTGGGATGTGTAGGCCCTGGAAATTGCGGTGGGGCCGTGCGCCGTAATATAATTCCTAAATCTTTTACCCTATTTCACACAAACAAATTTGACTTTCCTTCTCTGTTCTATTTCAGGTTAAAACTGGGGACAAATTGTCTCGCCCATTTTCAGACCAAAAGGGGTATATAGCGCTATACACATTATATACATACCTAACGGGCAGAGCTATAAAATAATAGGGATAAGTATAATATGGTCCTATCAGTAAGTTAATATATAGAATAGTAACCCGGGGACAACTTAGATAAAGAAGTACCCTCAGGAAATTTGTCCGATCGCAGACCATATTGTTGACTTTATTGAATTGCGCCAAAGTCAATGTCAAAAGCCCTGCATTCAAGCTTACTAAGAAAAAGTTGAAACCGCGATTCAAGAACAACTAAAAAAACGAAATATAAGACAGTTTTTTTTATCTCCCCGATACTGATGTATTTTTAGAGAAAGATCCAAGCAGCTGCAGGCTCAAATACCTTTGATGTTACTACAATTTTCAGAGCTATTTCCAGTCAATAACTCCCTTAATTCACTTATTACAAAAAGTGTATCGTCCCATAGATGCGGAAACCGTGAAACAGAGAAATCAAAATTGGTCATCTAGGCTAACTATAAGTACTAACCCTATTGATCCACCACGTATGCAGTGTAGCTGAGTGTATGAGGTCAGACTGAACCCGAGTCTCTCGTTATGCAGATTAACTGATACATCAGTAGAGTCTGCTAGCTTGCATGTTGTTGCCATAAACTTTCAATAATTTTTGTTCTGTATTCAAAACAAAAATTCCATGCAATACCCGGTGGTTTTCAGTTAATTTACAGAGGGAGTACAAAATTATTGTCGGTGATGGGGAAACAAGTGGTTTTTCTCTGTCAAAAATGGCTAAAATCAGCACTTTCCGAACGCAATCCAATAACGAACTGAACAGTCTCTGAGAACCGAGAAAAATGCGATAAAATAGTAATAATTTTACACAAACATTTTAAGTGAAATTGTGAATGGACAGAGTCATAAATAAGAGTGCTTTTATGTATCAACTCTTGAGCGATGAACCGGCCAAATAAAAGAAATAAACTGGTCTACAAGGGATAACCTTGTAGCCGTATTTAAAACCAACAAAGATAAAGTTTATTTGCAGGCTCTTCCTCAGTTGTATACATGCATGCTACACGAAATAAACAAAAACTAGGCAACTGATGCGCTTGAAACATTGTGTAATATATCAGACAGTTACTGGATCGAATTAGAAGAAAACAAAATTTCTGAGGACAATGTCGTAAATAGATGAGTGCTTCTATGAACCAGCTCTTACAAGCAATGAATTGGCCAGATAAAGGTGCTCTACACTGGGATAACCTTGTAGTCTAGATAGCAACAAAGAAAATTGATTTACTGACTCGTATATGCGACGCTCAAAAAAGAAAAAACAAAAAGAACTTAAAAAAATATATCCCAACTGATGCGTAATTTGAAACACAGTCCCCACTTTTTGAAGGAAAAAGAGAAAAGAAAAGAAATACACATTTTCAAATACAAGGAATCTTTGATGAAGTAAGAATATTCGACTGGCAGACCTCGCCGAAGCATCCAAACTGATGATGATTGGTGCGTTTCGATCCTATATCATATGTGATCCTCACTGAAAACGACTATCTTTACAAAACTCAGGGGCACCCAGCGACTATATTCTGTAAAATAACTGTTCGAAGGAGCAAATATTGCCTAGAAATTTCTAAAGCTTGAGAAGAGCTAAAACTGTCTGGATAACCGTTCCATGTTTTCACACTTTAATATCAAGATATAGCAAAGCATGATAAATAAAGTTGTCCCGATTTGCAAGCTTGTACTTGTAAATCCGCAACCATCGCAGCAGGAAAAGGTCAATTTCGGCAGCTCGAAGGTTAAAACCGTCTGAAACATGGCTCCATTCCGTGACAATGAATAAAGAAAGGTTCTAAACAGCCGCAAAGAGAAAACGGACAAGCTTTTGAAGTAAAAAATAAACACGCAAACATTATGATGCTGCTGTGCACGGTTACACCTTTTCGTTACTAACTCCATTCTCGTTTGTTAAACTATTTAAAAAAATGATTGATGAGTTGCAACTGTATTAAAAAATATTGAGTTGGCACCAGGTAAACCATTTTTTAAACAATAAGTATGTAAAGAGAGTTGAAAAGGGTTTCCTCGATACAGCCGTGGACTACTAATGGAACGCAGCGGCGAGTGAAGCTGATCTGCGACATGACTTCCGATTGTCTGCAACAATTTAATTTATCAAGTGCCTGGGATCAGAAGGAAAAAACCCAGCAGTCTTTTGTTGTACAGGAAGTCGTGTGAGGTTTGAGGAAACAATCCATCGAACATGAAACGTTTTAACAGGCATTCGACTTATGACTCCGATACGTAGTTGTATTGCAGAAAGTACTGACAACAGGCCGCGCGATCTTTACTGATGTACTTCACTGGGAATGTTCCTTGTATCTTTTCTGTATGAGCGTAGATGTTTAAGAATTGAACTTTTAGAAATAAAGTGTTCCCTGAATTTTCCATTTAACATCTGGTTTCTTTATGTGTTGAATCGAAAACGTTTGTTTTGCGGAACACCCGACGCTACGACTCGGAAGGAATTTTTTTATTTGCTGATAAGCAGTTGAAATTTATGCCATAGTGACGGGGTCCTGTTTATGCCTTTTTGTGCGTTGTTCTTTTAGAATAATCTTTATACTTATACATTATGTGGCTAATATTGCAATGAAAGCGTTTTATCATGAAGCGCTAAGAATTGCTTTCAAACACTGCTACGATTTTCAGCTGGTATCAATCGACTGAGCTACAGTGTTCAAGCAGAGTGTTCATCGCGCTAGCCGACCGCTATCAGTCTTTCCGTCAAGGATATATAGTATTCTGATTCCAACTTCTGCTCTGTTTTACATCAGTGAAACTGTATAAATTTAGCCTCGAAATAAAGAACTAAAAACCTGATAAAAATATGAAACAATAAGAGTGTAATAAAAAACAAATAATTAAACAGTTAACTATACTTCAATGACTTTATATTTCGTTTTTATAGACATATATGTTTATTATTGTTTATGATTTTTTTGAATCATAAGCTGCCTGAAGTATATTTGAAAGTTATTTTAAGCCTGTTTCTAAAGATTCATTTCTTTTATATTAGAGATGAGCACTCCAATTATTTTCTTCCCAAATTATCACGGCGAATTTTCTGTTCGCTTTACTGGAAATACTCAATCGTTGCTACTGGAACCAGTGAATAAATAAAAACAGTACCTTTGTAGGAGTCAATTTAAAGGGAAATTAAGCCGACTATTACAACTGTCAAACTATCTTTGATCTACCTCTAGCGCTTTTGATCATTTTAATGTTTAAAGGCGCTATATTAAGTGAATAAATTATTATTATTATTATTATTATTATTATTAGTATCTTTTATAGTTTCTGTTGTCTACATGCCTGTCTCACGAAATGCAAATACTTATTCTTTTCATTAATTTCTGTTTCTTTCATTGGAAAAACCTGACTTGACCTGATACGACTTCACTCACTCAAACTTAACCAGTCGCAATTCTAATTCACTGATGAGCCGTGACGTACCTTACATAAAAGTAAATACTCCAATGTTGTTTGGCTTTACAAAGGTAACTCACAATTTCAAATGACCACTTTCACCCAAAGTTAAAAAGGGCCCGTCAGTCCAAGATGCAAATTCAACTCGTTCTCTAGCAATTTACAACTTGTTAGCCTGAGACCTAAGGATTAAGCATTTCTGGGAGAAAAAGCGAGCTAGAGAGAAGGGGAAAAGGTCTTTCAGAAGTCCTGACCCTAACAAGTGAATATTCCACATACGGCGCATTTGTGACCGTTGGACATGAAGATGTTCTCTGTCAAAGGATGATCAAAATTGATAAATGATTACGAAATATTGTAGTTACAAACATCTCTATCTGCCATTCTTGTTAAAAAGTTTTATATCTTACGCACCTCAAATTTTTCAGCTCCTTTGATCGGTTGTATGTTTACCACCTTTTGGTGTCATAAAGCTTCTTAATTCTGAGCAAACTTGTCTGAGTAAATATATAGGTTGCTAATGAAGATGTTTTATAAATTACGTAAATGGTTTGGTCAATAAAGCAAACAAAATTTAAAGCAATTAAAACTCAAAGATAACGTTCAACACAGGATATGTTTAATTTTTTTTATGAGCGTCAAAGGTCCCCAATTTAGAACAATTAGAGACATGACTAAGAAACTTAAACGCAGAAATTCAATGTTTGTCAGACCGGTGGCGCCAGTAGTTAATTTTATTTATTGCTTATATGTTGATAAAATGTTTGACCAAAACCACCGGGCAATAATCTCATATTTCAGTATTACTGACGTTGGCAGTTCGGAGTACTATTTCAAAACGCCAAAATATCTATTTGTAGTTATTACTCACTATTTTCCGATCCTGTCCATAAACTGTTAAATTCCGCCATCTGTCCGCAAAGAGACAATTGCAGTTTACTTTAGCAAATACATAGTTTATTAAACTTATATGATTGATACAGAATTTCTCGCTTTTCCCTTTTCCTTTCAACTCCCTTCCCTTTTCTAGAAACGACACGCTTGACCTGTTCTGTTATATGATCTCTTGACTCATATTTATTTAATGAATGACGATGATCGCTCGCTCGATTCTCGCTGATCTATGATGCATGTGCAAGTTAAAGCCCTTTTTAGATCTCTCTTGGTTTAGCAGTTTCCAGGTGCCGAACACTGTTTTCTCAATGAAGTGTAACATATCAATCCATTAGAGATCGAGTTTTAGATTCACCTTTACGGAAAACGGCAACG